CCCCTCTGTCAGTCACCGATTGGTGGGCAATAATTCGACGTCAGTTTCCGTGATTGTGTTGTCGTCTTGACCAATAAGCTGCGATGCTCAAAATTTCCCGAAGCGGCAGACTTCCAAGCCTTTTTCGGTTGTCATATGAAGCACATATCACTTGTGGATTCGTGGAGCGCGCCTGTTGTGATCCTTCGGTGTGGCTGCGAGGCTTACTGCATGCGTAACATGAGCGCCTGTTGGCCCGCCCCGTTAAGGCTCTATGAGGATTTCTCTGCTGTATTACTTCAGAGGGGTTATCAATCGCCTTCAAGAGATTAGTGAGCTTGTTCTGTTGCACGCAAATACTTTCCGGTCTTCCTCTAGGCAAACTTGTATACCGACAACACGGACTAGGTGCTCGTCAAAGTGGTATATCTGCATCTCCCAAAATGCTCAGCAACTAGGTATAGAGAAATGGACCTTCACTCTCATTGGGTATTCTTTGCACTGCAGGTGGAGTCGGTCTATGTCGTGACTTATTTGGATTTCCCGACCATTGAATAGAAGGGGGCTTCCCTTAGTGCGGTCATTGTAAACCTGGCCTAACACTCTTCCAACCATTTCGTCCACGATCGGTCTGTCGTGGGGGTGAAGGCAGATTGAATAGTTGCGGAAATGTGCAGGTGGCAGGGGATGCTCCGCCTCGCCCCTTTTCCATCGTTGCTAATGCAGTCCAGCGAATTGTCCTCGTGATATCTCGATAGGCCCGTTGACAACCGAGAGACTTTGCGCTAGCATGACTACCTGCACGTCTGATAGGGCGCTTATCTAAGGTTCTCGACGTTATCATCGTCGCTGCTGAAGCTAGCGTTGTGCGTTCGTAGCAACTTTTAGTCCCTACAGTACGTGTTGCAATTTTAGCCCTGACCTACTGGTGTGAACATGTAGACCAGTCACACTGTGTGTCCTAGCTTGATGTTACGCATAGCTTCTAGACATGTCCTTTTGACTGCTGGATGAATGACTGTCCCTGACATTAGCAGTATGCCCGTATCCCTTTCTTACCCTGACCCACGTGGTTGTTATTTGAATGGCGCGTCATCCTTGCAGCACATCAGCCCAGATTGCAATCCGACCGGGGTTACTGACAAATAATGGAGTGATAGAGGGACAACCTATTCATCACAAGAATGAGCTTAGCCATGAGAATAGAGATAGTATAGGGGAGCATGGGTGCCTCGGGTCCGAATCGACTATCACTGACCGCTACCATCGGACTCTAGATACGGTCGCATATGAGATACACCAATGAGTCCATGGCAACCTTCGTGACCCGGGCTGATCCAACCACTGCAAGTGACGTAGGCGTCTTGAAGAAGATGCATCGGAGAGGGTTCGGATTTGAATCGCGATGTTAAGGAACTGGTGGGGTACGGAGAGCATCCTATAATTGGGGATAAATGGGGTAACTCTGTAGAGTTGCGTGGACACTCGGTTCAGTATGATCCATTCAGAATTTTCCCCCATACTTGAAGGCGATAGGAACAGCCTGTTAGTGCTAGGAAAAGACTTCATGGGGAAACGAGAAAAGAAGAGAAAAGACAGTGCGGGCAGATGAACGGGTCGGGCCGGAGTCCCTCTTGTTTCCTCTCCACCGCGTGATCCCCTCCTTCCCTTTTGCCCTCCTTTTGCCTTGCCATCCTTCCACCCTTCGTCTCAACAACTTATTCGCGACAGCCACACTATCATTACCACCAACGCGAACCCTGCTGGTCAAGGCGCGCACGGTCGTCCATTAATTCCAGACCCCACCACATGCAGTCCAGATAGCTGATGTCCTTCCCATGTCAACAACAAATCCTGTCCTCTCCCGAGAACATAGCCGGTTGTTGGGACGCCGTTATCATGGAATTTAGCCGACATGATAGTCATTGTGATGACTCTGACAGAAGTGTCCAGGGGTTTACTGCTGGGGAGTGCTTGAAGGTCGCATTCCCCGTCAGACTGATGAGCAATTCCCCGGTGCGACAGAGCCTCAACCGAACGTTCTTACATGTGAACAGAGATAATCAGGTTGACGGGTTTCTTTGCAGGTAAGATTAGGTCTTGGCTCTTCCTCCAGGACGGCAAGCCAGCGCGAGGGAGTATGGCTGAGCCTCGAGATGACGCCGTGACGGGATGCCCCCCTCCCCCCTCCCTCGGAATTAATCAGCGCGTTGCTCGTGCGCTATCTGCTACAGAGTTTGACTAGTATGCTCGAGTGCACGCGGTTGCGGATAGCGTAGCCTATGCTGCCTTCCGGAGAAACTGGACTTCGGATCGCTAACAGCATCCACCAATCCTATTGGCTGGCAGCTCACATTGGAGTGTGCGTAGATTCAATAATGTCTTTGTTCGGCCTCCATGAGAACAAACAAATCTATTCCATGTCCGGGTCTTACCACGAAAGGTAGGACTTGATCGATTCGCTGATCTAGTAAACTACTGTTGTCGTTGATCAGCGCGTGGCATTGTCGATCGCATCCAGCTGGTCTAGTCGACCCGGTTTGTAGAGAGCAGACTGGTGTGATGGGACACGAAGAATGGTGCCCTTCAGCCAGCCCAGTCCTGCTTATCTGAAGTTCTTTGGTGGCGAATTCGGGGTTATCATCTCCGATGATAACATTGTTGGCTTGAAGAGACGGTCGGTTGTAGCCGCCAGCCATGGATCGTCAGGTTTAGGAAAGATGCCATGACGGGGCCGTTGTTGGAAATGGGGCGATGAGGGTTCAGGGATTACGCAGCGGATGTGACTGGGACCTGCAGCAGAGGCCGTGCAAGGGAAACTTTTTTTGATCTGCTGTGAGGGTGGCTTGCAGCGACCTGACTGGGGGAGAGAAGGGGACAGGGTAGCACGAACCATGGGGCGTGAACAGGCCGTTCGTGTTAGCTTGAGGCTGACGGACGAGAGTTCATCTGACAGCATCATGGGGGTCGATCAGAGCGTCTAGTGCTTCCTAGTGGCTCTCGACCACAATACCCGTCCGGCCTGTAGGGCACCACTCACTAGCCATCACATCTCAGCAATGGCCCGTTCAGGCACCGCTCGGCGCCAGCTCTGTCCTTCACTTCCTCTAGACCGAGAGCTGTATCTCAGTAGAGCCTTTCACCTAGCCCCCATTCATCATGTTTCCATTTTGAGCAAGACGAAAGCTGATGTTGGAGTTGGACAGGGTTTTGAGATAATGATTTGACATGCTCCTTTCCTCGTCTGTCTATCTTCACCCCTCCTCGTCACTCTCAAATGATTGTGCCTGTTTGTCTATATAACTCCTGTGGTTCCCATCGCTCTACGACATGTAAACTGGACTATTGAGCATCCCGATTCTGTCTTCTATACTTCCTCAGCCATACTCATCCTTCCACCTGTTCAGTTATTTGGTCACAACATTCTTTTTCTATTTACATAAGATATACAAAATGAGCAACATTTTGGATACCTTCCCTGAATACGCCCAGACGACATCTATGGATCATCTGCGGGAGACCCAGTATAGCTACTTGGACGAACGGGGTCACACATATCTCGACTACACCGGTTCCGGTCTCGCTGCCAAGGAACAGTATCACGCTCATAACGCACGCCTCACGGAGCAGGCCTTTGGCAACCCGCACTCCGTCAGTCCCACTAGCGAGAACTCCACCCGACTCGTCGAGCAGGCGCGCGCCCATGTACTTTCCTATCTTAATGCCTCTCCCGACACATATACCGTCATCTTCACTCAGAATGCTACAGGAGCAGCGCGTCTTGTTGGTGAATCCTACCCCTTCTCCCGGCAGAAGCAGTTTATTTTGACGGCAGACAACCACAATTCTGTAAATGGAATCCGGGAGTACGCTCGAGCAAAGCATGCACGCACCGTCTATGTGCCTGTGCAGTCCCCGGAGCTCCGAGTCAGTCCGGCTACTTTGGCATCAGTCCTCGGCGGCCACTGGTGGGAGTGGGGACGAGACCGACTAGCATTGACCAAAGGAGGCCGTCCGAACCGTGATCGGGGACTATTTGCCTATCCAGCCCAGAGCAACTTTAGTGGAGTCCGCCATCCTCTCGAATGGGTGACATTGGCTCAACAATGTGGCTTTGATGTGCTCCTAGACGCTGCGGCATACCTGCCTACCCAGAAATTGGATCTGTCTCCCAAGAACCCCCAGCCTGACTTTGTCATGGTCAGCTGGTACAAACTCTTCGGCTACCCCACCGGTCTGGGGTGTCTGATTGCTCGTCGCGATGCTCTTAGTCGCCTCTCACGGCCCTGGTTCTCTGGCGGGACAGTCAAGACGGTGGGGGTAGCGCTGACCTGGCACGTCATGGCCGCCGACGAGGCCGGGTTTGAGGATGGCACCCTGAATTTCCTGTCCATTCCGGATGTTCAAGTGGGTCTGGAATGGCTGGAGCGCGTGAACATGTCTTTGATCTCCACCCGAGTGCGCTGCCTTACGGGCTGGTTCCTCCAGCGGCTGCTCGAACTCCGTCACAGCGACGGTTCCCCAATGGCCGAAGTTTACGGGCCCACCGACCTCAAGCGTCGCGGCGGCACCATTTGCTTCAACTTCCTGGACGCCAAGGGAGATATTGTGGATGAGCGGATTGTGGGGCAGGAATCAGCAGCTGCCTCGATCTCTCTGCGCACTGGCTGTTTCTGCAATCCAGGACCTGCAGAGAAGGCTTTACGGATTGATACGCGGCCGCTGCGGCGCGTGCGACGTCGTCTCCGCAAGGGCCTAATCCCGATGGACACCTACATCAGCATCGGTCGTCTTCCGTCGGGAGGGGCCATCCGGGTATCGTTTGGCGTGGCCTCGAATACAGCAGATGTAGATCGATTTTTCGAGTTTGCTACCAAGACTTACCGGGACCGGGTGCCCGATACGAGTGGACTTAGCCCGCGTGATGGGTGCTAGCGGGGTATGAATGTGGATGTGTACATGTTTATCGAGCCATCTGTTGTCGTAATGTTCTGTGTATAGCTGTCATACAGATTCTAGTGTTTAGAGTAACGGCGTTATCATTGGTCTTTGCACTCCTGCACTATTGATCGTATTCCCTGCTAGGGCGAGTTCGTCTTACTAGGACGGGGACCAATATTTGGGTCATCGTAGTCTCACCCATTTAAACGCCCCCCACGCATGTGAATCTGTCTTAGATCGGCTATCTGGCCGGTATGGACTAGCGATCTCACTATGCTCGATGCAGACGAACGAAGAGGGGCGCGGATGGTTCGGGGCCGAGACGAACATAGGGCACCTCGAACTGGGGGGGGGCAGCAGCAGCAGCTAGTAGGGCACGATGGTGCTCCTTCGGTCTGGGGATCCATCCAATGATCTCATCTAACTGGCATATCCTGGCTAGCTGAGACCAAGCCAAGGATCCTGAACAAAGCTATTGATGTGATGAAAAAGTGAATTTCTATCATCATCCCTCCTCTATAATGCACAGCCACATATTGATCGACATGCGCCACAGCCTCGTGGGCGTTGCTTTTTGCTGCTGTCGATCCTCTCGATCGCATCCGCTGCGACCCATGATGTGATTTACTTTGCGTTGCATGAACCCGTGTCTTTCCCTTCCCCACTTGAATGAACCGGTTTCGATCTGGTTCTTCCATCATCGGGAGGGGTTGAACCCCGAGGGTCCCCCGAAGGATCTGAGATTCGATATTTTGTGGCGGTGCTGGGTATCGACGATCCCCTCCTCCTCTATCTTGCTGATGCAGGGATAATTACTCCAATCCGCTGCTACCTTGTACTTTTTCATCTTCAGCCCTGACACATGTCTTACTTACTTGCTTGCTTCCTTACTGAGTTTAATCTATACGGAGTAACTCTCTCAGCTGTCCAGCACTCCATCAGCTCAGCCCTTTCACTTCCCTGCTGACCCACCATGCCGAAACAGGGCATCGGTCCCTGCCAAGACTGGCAATGGCTTCCTTTTCTCCTGCTGGGCGCTGGTTCCCGATCCCCCGATCGAGCGCTTCGCATGTAACCTGCTGGTGTCTCGGGGGATCATCGGGTATCAGCTGTCAGCCGTAGAACATGCAGCTCGCGGATGATGAACGGAGTAGATATTCTTGTGCGGCTAATTATGCAGTTTGCTGCCTTCGTTGCCTAATACCTGGATTGCCTTTGTTGCCTTCGCTTGCAGGCCGTGATCCTCGGATACGAACTGTCCGTGTAGCCTCGATGCGTCAGCTTGGAGGTATGGGTGGTTCGTGTGCGTGTGGATGGCTGAGGTCGTGGTCTAGGTACTGTGGCAATCTTTTCTGCGGCTGAGACGGCATCTCTCGTCCTTTGGGAGGTTTCGTCATGGGTAAGATACTAGTCTCCCTGGTAGAGATATAATATAGTATATTATATCCCTATCCCTGAGTGATAGTATGCCAATGCTAAGGCTTCTACAATCTTAGTCCTAGTCAGTGAGTGGTCCGTCAGACCGAACATGATACCCTAACCCGCCCGACATGCTTGCGAGAAGACACCCTTTCACGTTGTCCATATCTATCGTCCACCCTCATCGATGCATTTCTCAATCAACTACATCTCAATATACAAAGTTATCATATCCATAGCATGCCAATCTCCCGTAGACCCTCGTTCGATGCTAGATCGTATAAGGACCATCCCCGTTCCCCACCGCAGTTTCAGAAGGTTTCATCTAGAAACACCCGATATTAAGCTTAACCTTTTATAACCTGACTCTGATCCCATGCTCTTTTCCACACCGTAACTTCCTCCACACCTGGCGTGTTCTTCTTTCCTTCATACACTCGTTACTGTTCAACTTCGTTCACTCTTTCAGAAAAACATATAGTTAAAATGTTCACCCCAACCACCCTCCTCCCCCTCCTCGCCTCCTCAGCGCTGGCGCTGCCCGCCCTCACCACCCGCGCCCAAACCCAAGCCTCCACCTCCCTCTGCGGCGACTACGACTACATCATCCTCCAGGACTCGCCATGGATCGTGTACAACATGCTCTACAACGCCGACGAGATCATCGGCACCCAGTGCACCGACTACGGCGAGATGACTACCTCCACGAACGGCACAAAGGAGGTCGTTTGGAGTAGTGTGACTGATATTGAATATGTGGAGAGCACGTAAGCCATCTTCTCCCTCCCTCCCTTAATCCCTTGTTCCCGAAGAATTCTAATGAATGTACAGTAACAACGTTCCCAAGGGCTACTCCTTCGTCGGACTAACCCAGAACCTGGAGACCAAGATCTCAGCTATCGACTCCATTCCGGCGGAATATACCTGGTCGAGAACGAATTCTACTGCATTTAAGGGTACAATTCCCCCAGCACCCTTCTTTTCCAGAACAGTACTAATAATGATGATGAACTGGGATAGGCAACGTCTGCTTCGACTTCATCACCTCCCCCACAAAGGGCGACTCCACCTCCACCTCCGCCCACGAACTCATGCTCTGGCTACAATACGAAGGCGGCCAGCTCCCTATCGGCTGGACCAACGGGGCCGTAGCCACGATTGATAACCTCTTCGGCACGTCCTGGAAGCTGTACGAGGACGTGAATGAGGATTCGGGAGTCACTGTGAGCTCGTTGTTGCCTGATACCCAGTTCGAGGGCTCCTTTGAGGGTGATCTTAAGGAGTGGTTGTTGGAGTTGGTCCAGTTGGGCAAGTTCACGAAGGAGGCGTATGTGAATGTTGGGAATGGAGGGTGAGTTTTTATCCTTTCTTCTAGGATTTGGGATTATGTGGAGAGATGCTGATAGTTTGATGTAGTACTGAGTTCTTCTATGGTAACTCGGTTATGAATGCTACCTTGGGGTTGCAGATTAACCTGGATTAATTTGGATCAAGGGGGGTATTCGGGGGAGACTCTTGCGGGATGTGATTCCTTTTTGTGAGGCTGCTTGGGCTTGGACTTTGGATTTATTAACCTTCGGACTAGACTTATGGCTAGTCTTGTGTAACCATGCAATTGTCATATATTCACCCTTGACTAAAGTCTAATCTTAAGTGCTAAACTTAAATGTTAACCTACTTGCGTAGGCTGCTTATTGTAACACAAAATCACTAGTTGCTCAACAAACGGGTGGTTTTGCGGGGTTATTTGGATAGATCAAGTATTGTGTTTCTGGGTTAACGCTGCTATTTCTTTATGAGCAGAGCCAACAAAAGCTGAACATGATGAAGAGATTAAACAAAGATTGAGTAGTTAGTCTTTGTAGTACACCAATACTATTTCTTATATATAGTGGCATACATGAAAACCATCCTCTCCTTTCCAAGGAATTTATATATAGTATAACTCTTGTCCCCGCAAAAGAATATCCTTCAGAAAATCAGCTGAAATATATATCTTCAGCATATTTCCCCTTCACCAATCACTACTACCTAGTACGCAATTTCATCGATTAGTCGGTACCATCCATTTTATCAGTATATTCCCTACAGATGGAATCTAACAGGGGATGGAAGACGAGCCCTTATTAAGCATGAAAGGATTAAATTTCTATAAAGGTAGGTGAAACAGTAATCCCGCCCTACAAAGGCTCTTACGACAGTAGACTAGCATCGGACCAAATCCGTGTCCACACTGACTTGGTCGGTTCGTTCCAAAATGTCAGAAAGTTACTCGGCTTGGCCGTGTCTAAAGTTTGCCCCCACGTTGAACCGGATTTTGGTTGAAGAGATTAAGTTCGCGGGGAAATGCCATTACGTTTCGCGCTGTGGGATGATTTCTGGATGGGACAGTTGCTGGATGATATATTATTGGTTATTGATGGTAGACGCTGTTCCTCAGTCTACATGTAGAGTAGGGTATTAGGATAGTTGTCAAATATTGCGATTCACATTCTGATACCGAAACCATAACATCCAAAGCACGAATCATTTAGCTACTACAACTCACTCGTTCTATTCCCAATCTACATGGCAGCTGTAGGCTAACCCTCTCGACGATACGACTGCTCAATCCCAATCTCCGGCAATGCAAGGGTAGTAAACCTTTCCATATGATTTGCAACGTGGGGATAAAGCGAGTCAGGACCCCGATTCTTGTAGATGAGCTTCCGCGGGCACAGCGGGCACTGGCTGGGGACCTCTAACCGGGTGGTCGGTGTCGAATTCTTGCTCTTGTTCCGATGAAACGAAGCAAGATGCTTGTCAAGATCTTTCTTGTTCGTGAACTCGCAATTATTGCAGGACTTTCCCTGAGAAAGGCAGAGATCACACACCCAATGCTCGACGGTTCCGAAATTCTCCTCGAGGTGGGCTGTTAGCTCGACCACGTTTGCGAATTCCTTAGGGTCTTCCTGCTTGCAGCATGACCAGAGACAGGTGAATGGTCGAAGGTCGTGGTTTACATGTTCGCTATGGAATAGTTAGTTGATAGATTCTTCTCTCGTTGTCGGGTCCTAGGGGTTGGTTGGAAACTTACTACCAGGCTGTGCGTTCTGAGTCAGCCTCAAGGAGCATATCACCGCAGTATGGGCATTGGAATGTGCGCTCCTGGCCCTCGATGGGCTTTGGACAAGGAGCCTTAGACCAAGAGGCAAGCTTCAACTGCCTCATTTCATCGGTGGATGGCAGCTGGGGTTGGAATACATTTGCCGGCGGGTTCTCGGATAGAATATCCTCTCCGTTACCGTCTGTAGTGCCACTTGCAGCCCGTGCGGTGGCCCGCTTCTCCGCTGCTTTTCGCGACAGGCTCAGCCAGTGGTGTCGGCGGAGTATGACGTATATTAAGCGGTGGACTTGCTGTCGATGATCCTTTTCAAGATAAGCCAGTGCGGGTTTACCGCTGGGTAAGCCTTCACTAGCTCCTGCTTTGTACTCGGGGAAGTCGATCGAGTATCCTTGATGGTACTCCCGGATAAGATGCTTCTTCAAGCTGCGCAGGTCCTCAACATCCACATCACGGTAATGCTTATGATCAGGGTCATCCAGCTTTTGATAGTCCACGTACGTGAACTTGGCTTTGGCTTCATAGTCGCGGGCCTCATTATAAAGATCTGCCATTCTTTCTGCGAGTAAACCGAGCTTCTCAAGACTCAGCTGGGCTTCCTTTAGTTTTTCGGTAAGTTTGGGCTCCCCCTCAGGCCTCACCGGCCGTTCAATCTTAGGGCCAAACTCATCCCATCCGGGTTCTGATGACACGACATCTTCTTTGTTCTCATGGGACTGGTCAGCACAGCCTGGAAACAGACACTCCTCAGGCTTAGTTGCTGTCTCAATACACTCATCCAGCCCCTCGATCAGCTGTTTCAAACGTCGAACGGCATGCGGTCGGACAAATTCGTCTGAATGCATCCCGCTGTCATCATAGATCCCGTTGGAGGTGGCACAGATCCGGAGTTTTTGTCTCCAGTTCTTCTCAAAGTATGTCTTCATCTGTTCTGTCCATTCCCTTAGTGTTGCGTGTTGCAGACAGTCGTTGAGTTTGCGCAGAGCCGAGATGGTCATCTCGCTGACCGACGGGCTCTCCATTGTGATGTACAGGATGTGTATAGTTGATGGAAAACCTTGATGGATAACAATGAATCAGACAGATGGGTAAAGTCAGCCTGTACTTTGCTCTCTGTGTGTGGAGCAAGGTTGCGCGTCTTATACACGAATGAATACATCTTCTTCGCAAAGAGAAAGCCAATACATGGACAAAATTGGTGAGGAACAACGGTAAACTGCGAAATTAACAAAGAGCAGAACTACACTTATTTGTTGCGTTACTGATTGCAAACATGACCGGATTGACAATGTCTTCTTTGTTATTGTCGATGCAGCCAGTCGTGATTGGACTATCCTTATCCAGTCCTCCTTCTCAACGGGGGGTTCCCATCAACTTATGATCGAATAAGCATGCATGAAACATTGTCTGGGGTCACATCAGAAATGAATAATATGGAATACCATGCATGGCGACGACCCGTCTTCGGTCTGTCTGTTGACGGAAGCTGCAGTGGTGGCACGGATTATGTTTTTATCGTATGCTCATGCCCATTGCTCAGTAGGGATATTTCGGGTATTGGTCCATAGACATGGAATTTCCAATTGTACAGCAATGTCGGTGTGTTTTTAGCTCTCGACTGTGAGTCTCAAAGGAATTCAATATTTTTATTATCGTCTTGGTATATCAGCTTTAACTATCTACCCGCCGGACCAATGTGTACAAATGCACGCGAAGAAGTTAAGCTGAAGCGTCCCCGCTTGGAGCGAAAGAAGATTACACCAAGGCCTTAGGCTCACGGAGGCGGCTAAATCCATCGATGTTGCACCTGCATCATGGCTCATTCCACGAGCGAGATGATCGCCCAAACCTGTCCATTCGTATTTGACGTAACGTTGGGTTAGTCTGCGAATCAGTGGCGTGATTGATCTGGTTCCAATCTGCTCTAGTCACAGCCTCAGGGCTGCACTGTGGTACAGCTGTAGAGTCTGCAAACGTGCGAGAAAGTCGATCTCTCGCTTCATGCAAGGTAAAGCTTGCAAGAGCAAAGCTAGCGGCATGACTTCAAAGTGGTGGGCCAACTTGTTGGATGTCAAAATCCCTACCAGTAGAAAGATGGCTCGGTCGCAACCAAGAAAAGACACCCACGACATCTCTTTGGCCCGGAAGGATTCAGTCCGCCGAGCATCCGTTGCGTCCCTAGCCAATGAACAATCAGAATATCCTCATTCTCCCTCTGTCCATGATATCATAGCCCCTAAATTCCCTGCGATATTCTTTGCAGATCAATCATTGTGTTTGTGTAGTTGGAGACATCCCGGATACTGGTGAACTTATTGGACCTCATGTAGGAGTATTTCGTTGGGTTCAAAGACTGGCGATAACTGATTTTATCCCAAGATCACGCATTTCTTGAGGCAGAACAATTAGGCGGGCATCAGGAGTGGCACAAGAGGAGCATCGGATCTGTCACGGGTAGTATGATCCATGGAAGTGAGATAAGCGAACCATCAAGTATGCGTGATCCGAGGCGACAGCTGAAGAATAACCAACCAACTAACTAGTAGTTGTCGCCTGAAGGAATGGATGGACACGACGGAGAAAGAACGGAGCGGAATCTCCCTCATCCGCCCGGAAACCGATCCACGTGACGCGACCAGTAACATAAGCAGCGGAGATAACAGCCGGCGATAATTCGTCGCACAGTCGGTCTCGGCACATTCCGATGCGCGCAACTCAATTTTACTCTACTCGTATTCCCTTGCCTCTGCCTCGCCACCCGCCCATCTGAGATGCTTCATGGGGCTGGCTGTGCGTCACCTCCCCTAGCCCAAACAGATCATCCCAATTATACTACCAAAAACTGAAACCATTCCGACACCACTTTTTGTGTGCTTCATTCCAAGCGTGAACACTTCCATTAAGCCATAGGCTTCACGGTGATGTCCACACTCTAGCATCTAATATGCCACGTTCAATTGGCAGGCCTTAACTATTCCTACTACCGCTAAAGTATGGATCCTAGGGATGTTCTTCCTTTCCAGAACCATTCCTCCGGCCGAGGACCAGTCTATCTAGCTGGATTCAGTAGAGAGAAGCGGACACGATCCATCGGGCCCGAAACACCCACCGGGAGGCTCAACAGCAATAGTAATCAAAGAGAAGACGGCTCGGACTCGGAGGGTGCTACTCCGGTGAAGAGAGAAGAAGGATATTCTATGCCGCCACTGTGATTTGTTGGTTGAGGTGGCGGGTACCTGCAGCACAGGCCGGTTCATTGTTCGCCCGCTCGCTTCTCAACAAGTGTTGCAGAAAGTGGCCACGCACACCACGGCACATTCCTAGCGAGATTGCTCCCCCAGCAATTTCATGATCAACAGGACTATCAAGACATTAGAAGGGGATTCGTATAAAAGTGCAATTAATCAATAACATTTGGTCTTTATCTACCCTGATAAAGCCATCGACAAAAATGCTTATCGACAGAAGCTGCGACAATATGGCGATCTTCTGCACGATAGCGGAATGCTTGCTGCACTTTAGCTTTAAGCTCCTGCACCGGTGAGGCGACCGGCTGCTGTCTAGGCCCCAACCTGCCTAGCGGATCCAGCTTCCGGATAGTGGGCGATGTGAGGGAGTGCAATTTATCGTCACTAGACACGCCTTGGTCTAGTCTGGATGGATTGCCGAGCAAGTGAGGAACGACAATTAGTCAAACCACATGGTTGATAGATAGATATCACCACCCATCGACCTATCTGCCGAGTATCTCCTCGTTACCCACGCGGTTCTTCTGCGGGGAAGCGACCATCGGAGCTGGCAGGAGCTCTTGATGGCTGATGCCGTTCTGTCGGCAGACACGTCCGGACGGGGATGGGATGCACCGCGTCGCATCTGGCGCTACAAAGTAGACTAAGCGGGATCCGAGGGGCGCTGGTAGCGACGGCGCTGTGCTTGGCGGAGCCCATCCATGGTTTCCCTGTGTCATCTTAACCTTCATGATTGGAGCGGACAGTCCGCCATCGGGGGGATGACCAATTATTCATGGTCATCAACCTCGGATGCGGTCCGATCAGCGAGTGTCCGGTGAGGAGAAGAACCGTTGCTTGTCTCAAAACGGTAGAAACATACGATGGGGCCCTTTTGGCTTGGGTTTCCCCACAAGCCCGGCCTCTGAATCAGTGTTGCCTTCCACTTCCACTCAGGTTCAGCTCTCCAGTCAATTTGTTGTCCCCAGAATTCCCGGCTTGTCAACTCGTGCCTGCCCGAAACTCAATCCTGTCTTGTGCCTTTCAAATCACCATATATTATCCGCAGACTTTTCCCGAATCTTCCTTTTATTCTCCCCCATCCCCCCCCAGCTCCCCCTTCTTTACCTCCACTCTTCTCCTCCTTCTCTCTCCTTCTCCTCTCCTCATCTTCCTGTCTTCACCTCATCTTTTTCCTCCCCCTCCTCCCGCTCCTCCCCTTACATTCCGCCCATTCAACACGGCCTACACCCTTACACCTCACCATCATGGAGGCCGTTCACGACAGTCCCCCTCCCTACGCCACCGATGGCATTGACGAGAAGAAGGAGGATATCAGCCAGGTGGAGCAGAACCTCAAGCCGGGCCTGGAGGAGTCCGACGCTTTCGGTAATGAGGAATTTGCGGAAATCAAGTACAAGACCTTGAAGTGGTGGTATGTATCCGCTCCCCACCTCCCACCAATTCTACGTAATTCCTGCTAACACATTCACAACAGGCAATGTGGACTGCGTATGCTCTCTTCCTAATCTCCTCTGCACCTCAAACTCTAATCCTTCCGCAGTCATGATTTGCGAGTCTGTCTCGCTGGGTGTGCTCTCGCTACCCGCCGCCGTTGCAACCCTGGGTTTCGTCCCGTAAGTCTAGCCGGATCGACGATGCAACCTCACAATCCGCTAACTCCCATCCTTCAGGGCCATCATCCTCATCGTTGGTCTCGGAATTCTCGCGACCTACACCGGTTACAACATTGGATTGTTCAGAGAACGCTACCCCCACATTCAGAACCTCGCCGATGCGGGAGAAATCCTGATGGGCCCTTTTGGCCGTGAACTCTTCGGCCTGGGCCAGTTCCTCTTTTGCATCTTCGTCATGGGCAGCCACCTCCTGACCTTCCGTGTCATGATGAACACCATCACCGACCATGGCACCTGCTCCATCGTCTTCAGTGTGATTGGCATGGTCATTTCCATGGTCCTCTCCATTCCCCGTACCATGAAGGGCATGACCTGGATATCCTTTGCCTGTGAGTACACTTCTCAATTGCCTGCGTACGAATCATGATCTGACTGGCATCTTGCCGTTTAGCCTTCCTCAGTATCTTCAGTGCTGTCATGATCACCATGATCGGTGTGGGTGTTGAGAAGCACCCCGGTCGCATCATTGAGGCCACTGTCGACACCACCCTCTACACGGCCTTCACCGCGGTCTCCAACATTGTCTTCGCCTACTGTGCGCACGTCGCTTTCTTCGGTCTTATCGCCGAGATGGAGCAGCCCAAGGACTTCAAGAAGTCGCTGTTCATGCTGCAGACATTCGAAATCAGTCTGTACGTGACTGCTGCCTGCGTCATCTACTACTACGTCGGCAAGGATGTGCAATCCCCCGCTCTCAGTTCCGCTGGTCCTCTTCTGAAGAAGGTTGCCTATGGAATTGCCATTCCCACCGTAAGTAAACCGACTGATGAATTTGCTCGTTGCACGAACACTAACATCTCCGCAGATTGTCGGTGCCGGTGTCGTTAATGGTCACATTGGCTTGAAGTACATCTACTTCCGCACTTGCTCCAAGTCAGGTCTCATCCACAGCCGTAGCCGCCGCTCGGTCCTTGTCTGGATTGGCTTGGGCTTGGCCTGCTGGCTGGTTGCCTGGATTATCGCCGAGGCCATTCCTGTCTTCAGCGACCTCAACTCTCTGATTGTAAGTCACCTACTTCCCTGCGCAGTTTCATCTCGTGCCGTCGCTAATGTCATGATTCAGAGCGCGCTCTTCGCTAGTTGGTTCAGTTATGGTCTCAGTGGTATCTACTGGCTCCACCTTAACTACGGCCAGTGGTTTGCCAGCCCCCGCAAGATCGCCCTGACCGTGCTGAATGCCGGTATCGCCGTGTTCGGTTTGGTGCTGTGTGTCCTGGGTCTCTATGCCTCGGGAACAGCCATCCACAACGATGCCAACAGCAACAGTTTCACCTGTGCCAATACGGACAGCTGAATGTGCATCTATATATATAGACTTTACATCATTAATGGCGTTTATGAGCGAATTCTTTTGCCGCGTGTCTGGGACCGCGGCAGATGACGGCGTGACGGGTTTATTTGCATGACGGACTAGCTAATGATTTATTCATGAGTACATAATATCTTACCATCTATCTTTCTATCTATTACTTCAAGATTGTCCTCTGTAGTGGAGTCATCCAATCGCAATTCCTTGTACCCTAATCTACGGTGGGTTTGTAACCGCCTGTCTGAAGATTGAAGCTCAGGACAGCCTACAATCCAAGCCAGAGGTTAAGCTTCCCTTTGTATATGATCGAAAATTGAGTACTAGGGTCTCAATATCCTACACTAACAGCAGACGGTTGATTGAGTGCTGGCGAGTATGATGGGAGGCGAGCTGGAATTATGCATGCTGATTAAGCACCATCTACATAACTAACTAACCAGCACAGACACTGACAGTTTGTGTTGGCTGTCATGCCTCAGGCATACAGGCAGCACCGTGCAATCTACCAACCGCTGGCAGCCGGCAATATCCAACCATCCAACTTTCCAGTACTTCTCTTCCGGCCATCTGCTATTGAGAATAAATGTTGCCATGACCACGCGTGCAGAGTTAGCTACCCAGGCTTGTGACATCTGCCGGAAGCGCAAGGTCAAATGCAATGTGACTCCGTCATCGACTGACGCCCCTTCCAGATGTGGGCGCTGTGCTAGATTGGACCTGCCGTGCACCTTTCTATCTCCATCCCGGACGCGAGGCCCGAAGAAAGGGTACGCTGCTCGAGCCTCCTTCTGCAGTGAGCGGTCATTGCTAACGTATACCCCAAGTTCACGTACAAGATCTCCGGCACAAACGCAGCCAGATGGAGAGAATGGGGAGGCCCGGGTTTTGGGTGCCATCAATTATCCCACGGATGATCTGTGCGATCGACACCTATTTTCCTGCATCATGCAGGACTATTTGGATTACCTGTATCCCCTGGTTCCGATAGTGCATCGGCCGTCTTTTCGACAGTCATTGCAGGAGAACCATGATCGCGAGGATAGCGGATTTCTTGGGCTCATCACCGCCATCGCTGCGGTAGTCATCGCAACTATGCCCAGCAGATTTCATTCATATCGATGTGCAACCCCGCCCTTGAGGTTCACGTCACGTAGGGACATGGTCCGTCATTGCTATGACAAAATTTTGCGGCTGAGGGACTCGACTTACTTCGACCACATTAACTTTCAGAAGTTTGCCATCTCGTACTTGCTGTATGCTGCATTTCGGCAGTTGGGTGACCATAACTGGTCCCGTATGTTAGATGTGGAGGCAACACAACTGGCTCGCCTGTTAAACCTCCATCGCATCTCTGAATATGATGGGCTTAATTGCATCGAGACTCAACTGCGGAAGAAGGGCTTTTGGTTGATTTTCTACGGATTCGTGTAAGTGGGCATGACCCGGAGAGTAGCTGTCTTGCAGTCTTGCTCATTTCATCCAGCCATAATCAACTGCAGAATGTGCTGGGAGAGCGATTGTCATACCTGGACCCCATCCTTCTTCATTCCATTAATCCAAAAGATCTCATGCCACTCGAAGTTGATGACGAATTTATCTTCGAGAACGAGGTGCTTATGCCACCGTCCCAAAGTCCATGCCTGGTAACGGGCTTTATCCTCCATTCCAAGGTGTTCTGGGCTGCTATCAGGAGCACCTGTCCAGAATCACCGGCTGGACCGTGTCCCTGTGTGAGGGCCCGCGATCCAGCCGTGCAGATTTCTTACATCCAGGATCGTCTTCACAATTTACGGTTCTTACTGGATGATATCCCACCTCTCCTCCGTCCATGGCAACCATCGGATACCGAGGCTATCGCTAACGGTGGGAGCACTGGTGTGACGGAGATGACGCAGTCACATTTTGCTTCTATGCGTGTGAACCTACATGTCACACACCTGTGGCTACAAAGCTTGCTTGTTGATCAGCTGGAGGCGGCGCAAGCGCACAAATCAGAGCTATCGTCAACATCTACCGACCATGCACAGCCAATGCTTGATGCAAAGGCGTTGTGGCTCCAGAGGGAGGATCTTTGTCGTCAACTATTCTGCATCCTATTCAGCCTGCCCCAGATCAATTTGGAAGCGAACGGTCTACATTTGGCGCACAAAGTGCGTGATATCGCGGCGGGCCTGCTGGTATGCCCATTCCATCCTGCTGGCCCGGAAGCGGAGCGAGCAACCGAGTACCTACGACAGTCAACCGATATCCTGTCCCGCATAGACAGTAGCGAAAGCATGGTCACAATGCATCTACAAACCTGGATAGATACAGATCGAGTAAAAGGAAGTTCATAATAGTGGCAACGTGCTATTTCTTGCTATCCAGCCCCGCTCAGAGTCCCGACCAGAAAGTGGTCTCACTTAATTCAATGGACTCCTCCAAGTACGTCCCACGGCTACTGGTTCCAAGCATGATTTGATATGTGCCACTGTGGCTGCACCAGCTACTGCTCTTCTCATCCCAGAAGCTTGTCGCGCGGACAAGATCCAGCGGAATCTGCACCACCTCTTCCGCACCTGGCTCTAACCAGACTTTCCGGAATTCCTTTAGCTCCTTCAGTGGCCGCTTGATTGGCGGCGAGACCGGGGCGACATACAGCTGTATCACCTCCGCTCCAGCCCTGGATCCGGTGTTACGCAACGTGCATGTGGCTTGCAGTGAACATGCCTCCCTTTCGAGGGACAGCCCCGATAGTTCGAATGTTGTGTACGAGAGACCATGGCCGAAAGGGAATAGCGGATCGACCTCAGCCTCGTCATAAAACCGGTAACCGACATATACGTCCTCACCATATAGGACTCTACCGCCCTCTGATCGATAGTTGAAATAGGTGGGGTTGTGTTTGACGTGGCGGGGGAACGTGAGTGGAAGTTTGCCAGACTAAGACATCCGAATGAGTTAGCAGTGCCAGGCCAGCTGGAATGAAGGACTTACCGGGTTCACGTCGCCGAAGACGACATCCGCAAGGCCATTGCCAGTTTCGTTACCGCCATACCAGGCGTGTATCACTGCCTTTGCCTTCTGAATCCAGGGCATCTCTACGGGAGTTCCGCTTTGCAGAACGACAACAGTGTCTGGATTCACCTCAAGTACCCGAGATATCAACTCATCTGTATGTGGTGGCAGGCTCATGTTCGTGCGATCCTCGCCCTCTGATTCCCATTCTGCACTCAGTCCAGCCACGAGTACGACTTGATCAACCGATGCAGCCAGCTGCACTGCCTCTTCGATGCCTGTAGAAGGTGAGAGCTGCCTGCAGGCGCCGAACCGGAAGCCACCGTGACCAAAGTCAACTACCCCGGGGACCTTGAACGTGCTGGTTTTAGCACATCCCCACTGCACATGGATCTTGTACTGTCGACCGGCCGTGAGCTCCAATGTGCCTCTTTCTTCCATGGTGCCGCTCCCGAGGAAGCTGGACCCCGGCCTTTGTACATCAGCGTTATTGACTAATAGGTTTCCATCCACATATAGCTTGCCCGTCCCTTGCACACAAAGACCAAAATCGTATAGGCCGGATTTCTCCGGGACAAAGTATCCCTCTGCGTCTGCAAACCACACGGGTTGCAGCTCTGGGCGGTTGTAATCAAGGAAGAAGACCATCGAGTCCGTCTCGTGTCGTTCCTCGAGTGGTACTCTGTTCTCTACGGTGGGAGGGTCATTGAAGATTCTCAAGGTAAATCCAGTGAGGCCATCCTGAGTCCGCAGGCGCTCTCCCAGCAAGGGCTGGTTTTGGTGTCCATATATCCCCTGGGCGAACTCCACGCCGCCGGAAGCTGAGTTCGATATTCCCTCAAAGGGAGTTACAGCTTGGTAAGGATTGAGCGCTGCACTTCCCCCTCCACAGTAGGTAGCAATCTTGGAATTAGGACCGATGATGGCTATTTTCTTGGTCTTGTCCAGAGGCAGAATGCAGTCATCATTCTTGAGGAGGACAACTGCCTCTGAGGCGATCTTCCTGAGTAGCCGTCTATCCTCGGCACGGTTCAGCTGCAACTCCGGGGCACGCTCAGGAATACCCGATCGGCTGGCTTGCTGGACCAGACGCAGCACAGCGCGAACACGGGCATTTACCGTCGCCATGCGAATCTTGTTTGCAGTGATGGCATGTGACAGAGCACTGCCGCGCCATCTTGTCGGCCCTGGCATTTCGAGATCGAGTCCGGCGTTGATGGCCTCGGATGTGCTATATGTTCCAAACCTGCCAGCGAGTCAGCGACGAAAATGGTTATACAAGCGTGGTCACAATTACGGAATCTTACCAGTCGCTCATCAATAGACCCTCCCAGCCCCATTCTTCACGTAAGATGTCTTGAAGAAGTGTTGGACTCTCCGATGCATGAAGCCCGTTCACTTTGTTGTATGCCGTCATGATGGCTTCGGGCTTTCCCAGGGAAATCGCGATCATGAATGGCAGAAGGTAGATCTCCCTCAGCGCCCGGTCGGTGAGAATGGAATTGACAGCCATTCGCTCATGTTCCTGGTCATTGCATACGAAGTGTTTGAGAGTTGCAACGATGTTCTCCTCCTTCAAGCCTTTGCAATAATGACCTGCTATAATTCCTGACAACAGCGGGTCCTCAGAAAACGACTCGAACCCCCGCCCTCCCAGAGGACCTCGCTGGATGTTTATGGTCGGGCCAAGGACAACATGAGCGCCTTTGGCCTTGGCCTCTGCCGCTAGCAGATGGCCAACCCGCACAGCGAGATCTTTATCAAATGTCGCTCCAATGGCCGTACCGCAGGGCAGACAAGCTGCTGGCACGCTGCCAAAGAAGCGGGTGCCACGAACACCATTCGGGCCATCGGATAGGCGAATCGACGGGATCCCGAGCCGGGGGATTGGAACGGTGTGCCAGAAATCGTCACCTAGCCAGAAGCAGTCAGCTTTTGATCATATTTAGGAAGCGGTGCATCGCGGGCATACCCGTTAGCAGAGCAACTTTCTCATCTAGGGTCAGTTGCTTGATGAGCTCCTCAATATCGGCGTTTGCGATTTGAACAAAGGACTTGTCCATCTCGGCAGCTGCATGTACGCAAGACATGATGCGTGCAGTCTGCTACAGCGTGTGGTTTGGGATGGTTTGTCGGGAGCTG